ATTTTTGTTTCCCAGGTCTGTCTGGAAATAGGGGGAAAACATGAAGTTTGGGAAATTTTTGTAAAAGAGGATTCAAGAATGCGTACTAAAATAGCCCTAAAAACGTACATCTTTCTGGCATCCTTTTGATGGAACTTCTCTGAGTCCGAATCCAAGTCATTATTATCAAAAATATTCTAAAGAACGTTCTTTTCATTGATGCTAAAAAAGAAATTGACCTGACTGCTGTAGTTTGGAAAATATTGCAGTTTGAAATGGTATAGTGACATATGGGACACCCTGTAGAAGACTGCTCTACAAAGGCCATACTTGATTTTCGTTTTTCAAGTTGTGCTTTCACCATGGATGACCATCGAGGGCATTTTGAGGAGCATGTACGTGGCGAGTATGAAGCAAGTCAGAAGGCTGTCCTCAAAACCTCCACGGAAATCGCAACCCTCGTCGCTTTCATCAAAGGTGAGATTAGCCGACTGTGCATAATGCATCATTGCCTTTCAATGCGAGACTGGGAAGTAGTGAGGTACAGAGTACTGGTCCTCAGTCATTTTCAAAAGCTGGTTGAAGTTCCTTGAGTTTACCCTATATCGTTCTCTCAGCAGAAGGCACTTTAACTAGCAAAATCTGTGTTAAAAGAAGCCCACATCGTTACTGATAGGTCTCTCAACGTGCTAATCGAGGATACACTCGCTAAGGCAAATTGGGAGAATGATTTTAGCGTTGGCCACAATGAACTGGAATTCTACAAGCACGCGCAGGCGACGTGTGACATCCAAGAGATTTTCTTTCAGCATCAAACCCTTGCATGTCAGTAAGGGCTCAACCATTCTTCCTGCGTACGCGATCCACATATCATCACATCGTAAATTAGGCAGAATTCCGGCATGTCTGTCTTGTAATTCACAGAACTAATCTGACCATCCATTTAATGCAATGTCTCCAATGATGAGTTCTTATTCCGCAAGGAATTATCTTTTCTGAATCTCCGAACGTTCACCTCAATAAGCAGAGCGAAAGCAAATGCATGAATTGGCAGTAGCAGCTATGCGAGTGAAATGAAATGAAAATGAACTCTTCGATCCTTTCGTAGGAGAGTATCAACCTACGTCGAAGGAAGAGGCCAAGATGCCGAGGCGAAAAATTCAGCGGAATGGCTACGTCATTGCTGACGTACCTCTATTGGCTAGAGAAGCAGTGCTATGCACGCATTCGGTGAGAAGAAATATTTTCTTATGCATAGGCTACCTACGAGTTCGTATATTTATGCCTCAATTAGTACTATAGATTTTAAAACGAGGGGAAATAGCTACACGATTCACATTGCATGAGTAAGTCCTGGGAAGGATAAAACTGACACTGTCTCTCCATGAAAAATTGCTTATCAATAAAAAAAATTTCATGGCGATACAATAACTCTGAGAACTACCTTGTATAACTCTTTCTCTGACTTGGAGTGCGACGCTTCGCACTGAGTTACCTTCAAATACTTTTCTGAGGCTCTTATTTTATTTTGCAGAAGGCAGAGCCAGCAGTTAAGGACTGTGACTGCTAAGGATTGTGGCGGCGAGAGAGGACGTATACTCCATCATAGAATCGGTCCATAAAGCTCTCCATGGTGCAGGTTATAGGAAAACCAGAGATGAAATCATGAAATTTTACGCATAAGTTCCTAAACCCCTAGTGAAAGAAATCACTAGAACTTGCCCTCATTGCTACAAATCTGCGGAGCAACGAAACCAGCCTACCCTTCAGCCTATATTGGCTGACTGTGTTTTCAGCAGATGTCAGGCACGCACTAGAACCTCTCCTTTCACACCTTTGACCATGTCGTAACAAGGTCATAAGGTTCCGGGCAATATAATAGACTAAAATACATAATCCATTCCATTGCAACTGGACCTTGTCAAAATGGACCAGCCTGATGAGGCATTCAAGTATTTCGCTCACTACAGGGACCACTTTTCCAAATTCAGCGTACTCTTCCCTAATTGCTCCAAGAGGCCAAAGAAGTTTCTGCTGAACTGGAGAAAAGGGTCTTCGCATACTTCGGCATCCCCTCTATTTTGCAAATGGACAAGGGGACAGAATTCAGGAACGCGGTGAATTGCAACTCTTTATATTCCTTATTTTATGAGGATAAGAAAATTCTCATAGCTTTCTATCGAATTATCAACTCATATTGGTTACCATGCTGGTTCACTTTTAGAAAACAAGCATTTAAGCCTACTCTCCCAAATAAACCAATTTTATTTGTAGCACTGCATATGCTTTTCTGTCATCTAAACTTCTTTGTGTCAGCAACTTTAAATCCCATGATTAAAAAAACTTGGTCTCCTGAGAAGATTCTTTTTTTTTCGTACGTGACTCTCTTTGAACCTTTTTGAAAGAATGAAGTATGTCTCACAAACCCTGATCCGTGTCCCAAGAGCACCGTCATCGTGACATCCATCATGTTCTTTGATATAGTGGCTGTTATTCATCATTGAACGTGTCTAATAACTCATTCTGGTAAGAGTACAGGTTTATACAGCCTGGTAGAAAATGCCCAATTAAGTTAATTAAGAAAAAATGCTAAGTTACTGGCCATAAAGGTGGGGAATCCTTGAATAGGTTTTCCAAGAAATAGGAAAGGGGGGGGGGGCTGGAAAGGAAACGAACGTTGTCTAAAAGCGACAGCTATCCTTCAAGCAGGCGCCCGGTGACACTAGCTGAACATAACAGGGTTTTAAGCTTCCAGGATCATACATTTCAGACTGAATGAATGTGGACCAATCCTTCAACTTAAAATAAAACTATTAAAAAGGAATGAGTCAACTGAGTAAACATTGCTACATAATGTAGTGTCACGTATTGGATAGGAGATGACCCCTAATCAATACACGACTGTGGGATTATTAGGTAATCTCGGTTCGGTATAGCAAATTCAGGAAAGAAAATCCACCATCGGAATTTCAAAATAATTGCACATTCATATTAATATTCAAAGGTTTAAAATAAAAAGGATGATGAAATAAAATATTGGAGGGACAAAAGACACAACACCAAAAACACCAGAAAAGCGTCTCACAGGCTCTCTTGTTGATCCCCGCCCCACCCCACAAGCTGCTCCTCGCTCTTGCTCTCGATATACCTCCCTCTCTCTCTAAGTCCTCTCGAATCCCCTGACCTCCTTCGAGTCCTCCTTTTTCCCCGGGTCTTCCCGGATGAAGCCGATAAGGTTTTCCGTTCCAGCTTATGAGTCCGGATGTCTCATCCTGGGGCATTATCGGTCAACAGGGTCAAAATATCCGTCTCGGGAGAAGGGCTGCCATTTCAGATTATTAATCAGGGCGTCTCGCCCTTGGACATTATCGGTCATGAGTGGTGTGCTGTTCAGGACATCCGTTCCCGGAGAAGGGCTGCTTTTATCTTTCTATTACATCCCACACAGCACAGGTATATCCCAAAGATATTCCAGAGATATCCCCTTCGGACAAGTGCGATGTCCCAGAGACAAGGAGTAGGGACATCTTAGGGATATGAAAATGTCTGGGCCCAATGACATCCCAAGGATATCCCTTTCTTGAAGAAATAGCACATCCCAGAGATGTCCCGGGGATATCCCATTGGGACAAGTGAGAAGTCTCAGGTAGTACTTGTAGGGGCCTTCCTATTCCTTCCTACCCATATGGACTCTTTTCCTATCGCACAGGAGAACCCTTTGTTTTCGTAGATGTCTCTAGATTAAGTGTTCCTATATAAAATAAAGTTCTTGATCGATTGAAGAGTAACGATTAAGGGGAGGAAAACGCCGTTTTTAAAGGAAAGAGCCCCATCATTGGAGACACATCTCCAAGGGACGAAATTTAGCACTTTTACGCGAGGGGTCATGGATGATTTGATGTAGTCTCATACCTTTCAAATTGTATGGGCTCAGGCCTCCAACCAATATAGTTGTATCCAGACATGCCAATCAGACATCATTAATGAGAATATAAAGGAATAAATTAAAATTCGGACCGCAATTTTTTCACTTTCCCTGATGGCAGTTTTCCTTATGTATGGTACGAAAATCCTTACTTGTCCTCAGAACAAATCAAGCAGATGAATTCGATAGAAAAGATCTAAGGTTGTAGATCAGGGCTCACGGGAGACATCTACCGTCGAAGCTGTGCACCTGACTGAAGGCAACAGAGAGCACTGAAGATATCTTCAAGATATCCCCTCCAGGATGTCTTAAAGATATCCCGATAGGGATATCTCTAAGATATCGACTGAAGATGTCTAAAAGACGTCCCGAAGACATCCCTTACGAGATGTCCGAAACCGTCAGAAAGAAGATGTCTTCAGGATATCCTATGAAGACATGGGGACAAGTCGTCCAGTTAGGGACATCCCTGGGATATCCCTGTGCTGTGTGGGATCCCAATCAGGGCGTACTCTGACACCGGTAACTCAGCCTAAAGTACCGAAAATTGACATGGTGAACTCGCTGATGAGGATCTTCCATGGGGGTCATCTTTGACAAGAAACTATTTTAAAGCACTAACTAGAACAATTCATTGTTTACTTGAGTGGCTGCTGTCAGAGAGCGTCTTGATTAGGGGTCACCTTCAGTTACTTTTTCCCTCACTGAAAGAGGCGGTATCGCTTGACCACCATTGCATATGAGGTGGTTTGATCCTAACTCCCTGGACTTTTCATTTAGACAATCATCAGCTGAAGAGACCCTTCCAATTGCAGAAAATGATGGCATGAAGGTGGATGGAGGCTCAGATCTGCCATGGGGGACTTCTGTATTCGCCACTGGGTGAGATAAGCCTGGACAAAGGGAGTGCGCCTTAACCCATAGAGAAGTATGTCATAGTATGGATCAGTTACTCCCCCTGTGGATAAAGGAGGAAAAAAAGTATGCTTGACTCAACAGTCTGTTTCTGTCTGTTTCCTGTCTGTCTTTCGCTCAGTTCTGACCGTCCGCGAGCATCTTCGCAATCAGTTTACTATATGGCAGCACCCCTGCCATATGAGTGAAGCTATGGGTATGGGCCAGATCAACTGGCTACTCTCGTCTCCTAAGTCTTTGATGTCTTAGACGGACTGTCATATCAGATGGTGATTCGATCACAATTAAGCCATGCGTAAAGCAACGCTTGCATTTGCTGTGTCCTTCCGGCGCTTGCTCGTGAGATGGACCCATTCTTCCTTCAGCACAGTCAAGAGTGTCCCTGAAAGGCCGGGAGACCTCACGTTGAAGGACTTTATTAAGGGCTCATTGGCCGCAACGAAAGATGCTTCAGGGTCTCGATTCACCAATTCAGATGGAATTTCTTATTTACCTCGGCACCTAATGGATGGGAGAGGCCGGAAAGGTCAGTGGTAACCTAAGAGAAGCTCCTGACATCGCTAAATCGCGTGAATCATGTGGCCTAACGTTTGCCTGACAGTAGACCATATGATATTCATAAGTCTGGGTTAACACTTAACGTTAGGTGAAAGTTACACATATTACTAAGACTCAGTCTAGGCATAAACTTAATATCGTATGGGTCCTTTGTCCAATGTAAGTTTAAAGTTTGTCTATTGTACTGTAAAACGTGTTCACTTCCAAGAAGGGGTACATAGATCAAGGTTTGATCTATGTCAAAATCTTCAGAAAAAGAAGATGCTAGGATAGGATAACATTAGTTGTACTGTGAGGTATGTTTTAGGGTATGGGCAGTTCCACAGTTATTGATGTAACACTATACTCAAAATGAAAACATGTATGATGGTATGCCTTCAAGATGGTTTGGTCCAGAAAATCGACTTCATCAGTGCCTTGTAGAGCATTAGATACCTGTACCAATTCAAGCCCAATTTTTCTCAGTTCTCCCATGGGTAAAAAAAAAGCAAGGCCATTTTTGCTGTGTTACCGACGTAACACAGTTTAGACAACAGTTTTTGTTCTGCTGCTTCACTTCTAATTCTCTCTGATTTGGCCTGACCTGAAGCTTCTGTATTATCAGGAAAGAAGGCATAGACCAGCACCTTTATCCAGGCCAAAAGACATTTATTGTTGTTCAAAAATGAATTGGGGGGAGAGTTTTCCAGTGTTACTGACGTAACAAATTTTTCAAAAAAGCAAGTTTCACCAAGCAAGTGTTAAATTCATTAAAATGGAATGGTGCTAGAGTAATCCTACATCATCCCACTTCAAGTGATGAATGTTCAATGGAGCTTATTTGCTCCAAGTTTAGTACCCATGCAACAAAGGTAAAGCAAGTTGGATAACATTTTGTAAATAAATTTTTTACCACTTTTGTCCTAATAACTCTGGAACTGCCCCTATTATACTTAGGCCTGCTGGAGAAAAAAGTAAATAAGAGGCTTTCCATTCCTTTGAGGGTTGTTGGTCTTGAGTATGAAGAAAAGGAATGACTGTTTCAGCCTTGCATTCCTTCTCTTCTGGGTTTTCAAATGGCATTGACATTCTTAGAGGTATCCCATGAAACCCCCATGTCTACCTGTTTTGGTGGCCCTGCTCCAGTGGATTGTAGAGCAGATCAAATACATGGAGCATCCTGAGCAATTAATTGCTGTTATCATGGAAATACTTCCATGCCATGAATTTCATTTCTTGTCATGTCATTATGATGAAATTCATGACTTGGGCTTCTTTCTTGAATTTTTTGGGATGAGCAAAGCAACTAGGCTTAGTACAATTATCACACCTTTGTAAAGGTATTTGTTTTGGGCTCAATGCATCAATCATGTTGTTTGTTATATAACTCCTTTTTCTTGCCCATGAAGGGATAGAACCTATTCTTAAAGCTATCTGCAGAATGTGCAACCTCTATGCTTACCACCTTGCTGTTTCATGTATTCACTAGCTGGCAAGAAAAATGACATTCTGTGATTAGAGTTTCACTCAAGGCTTGCAGTTTAACACATTCCCTGCAAGGGATGAGATATCTTGTCCTTTATTTCCCTTTGCAATTCAATTTACCCATAATGCTATGGAGAATTTTAGACCCTGTCCAACAGTGGATTGCAAAGGGTTAATGGTTTTATGCTACTTCAGCTCAGCACTGTACAGAGTTGTTTTCATGCTGTGCCAACTAGTGACTGAAACTGAGAGGGAAAAAATATTATTTGGTAGCAGACCAAGTTATTGTGTACATTGTGTCAAGTAATGGCATCTAAGTCGTGCAAGGGCCTTTCCCTAGCCTCTTCTTGTGCTTCTGTTTTGCTGATGTAATTTCCTGCTTCAACAGCCTTATAGTGGCCCAATATTCCTCATACACTACTTGATTGCCTGTGTGTCTGTATGAATCCCAATTTTGTTCCCTACTACTAATGAGGGACTGGATTTTGTGCCCTGAGCTATCCATTAGAGGAAGAAAAGCATTGAAAGTCAATTCTAGGCTGACTGCAGCTTTGAATGACAAAGAATGACAAAGTCCATCCTTGTAGGAACCATCACTTTAAGTATAATTAATTTTTTCAGTAATTTTATGAACAGCAATTAAGAACATTGGTTGGGTGTGTCTAGGAAAGCCAAATGTTCAGGAATTCAACACCAGAGAATTCTGGTACAGCTCTTACAAGGTCCTCCATGTCTCACCTCATGTTGTTCCGTTATTTTCTTTGGCACACAGTTGAAACTTGGAGACCAGCTCGTTGTACTCGTTGCCATGCTGTTGTCATAATAAGATCATGGAATATCACATGATGAAGATTTTTAGCTATTATATCATGCAACGTTAATGTTGGAAAAGCTGGATAATGGTAAAGCCTATGGTCTCTTTCCCTAGTAGGCATAGGTGAATTCCTAACTTAAGCTTGAAGGTAGACATTAAGTCTATTCTAGACTTTATGCTTCCATTGAATCAAAGTTAGATGTTAATCATTTTTCTCATTGCACTGTTCCTCACAGTCTTCTTCAAGGTTTACGGCTGCCAGATGAATGTTAACGACACGGAGATTGCATGGTCCATCCTCAAGGACCATGGATATGAACGTACAACACAGGAAGCAGATGCAGATGTGGTCCTCCTTGTCACATGCAGTATTAGGGAAGGTGCTGAACAAAAGATTCGTAGCTGCTTGGTTCATCTGCAGGCCCTGAAGGAACGGAAGAGGGCTAATCGTCAGCCCTTCACCGTTGGTGTTTTGGGTATGAAGAACAATATTGAAACCACTGTGCATTTACCTCCAGTGAGTTATTGTAGTATTTACATTTTAACAGATTTGTGAAGTCCAAGACATTGGTACTTTTTTTTCTAAAGAGGACCTATATATTTGTTTTCATATGGCTTGGTTTGCACAATGAATGTATTAGAATGAATGCTCTTGAAGAACTGGATTTAAATGCTCCAGGAATTTTAATCTGATCTGAAGTTTCATTAGGTTTGTGCTTATTGGCATTTTGAAGGCTGCATGGCAGAAAGGTTGAAGCATCACCTGATTGAGGAGGAAAAAATGGTGGATGTAGTCTGTGGTCCAGATGCATATCGTGACCTCCCTCGCCTACTTGTCTTGGGTGAGAGTACAGAAGTGGCTGTGAACGTCCTTCTTTCCCTCGAGGAAACCTATGCTGATGTGACTCCTGTCCGCCTCAATCCTAACTCCATCTCAGCTTTTGTGTATGTGGATACTTTAAACCTGATTATGTTACCATCATGTATAGATTTCTGGCAGTTTCATTTGCTGAGTATGCACCATTAAATGTACTTCATTTATGGCTGATTACCATTGACTTCAACCCAAGATGATGATTATGTGATGATCATAACCTTGATGAGCATTGCAGTTGGTATGGTAGTGACTGTAATTTGATGCACATGGAGCTTGTGATCAATAGCTGATACAGAACAAACAATTTTTGCACCTAATACTCAATAGCAAAAGAAGCAAGACTTGGAGCACTTTTTATGCTGATTAGATGCAAATTATTAGATACTGGTGCCAGCAATCATTATCTGTTGAGGGTCTTATCTTATGGTATACCCTGGAATCCTTCATAGTGGATTGGTGTCTGGAGGGTAGTTGGACTTGATTCAAGGTTTGACAGACTTTTCCAGGATGTCAATGTACACTTTAGTGTCGACCTTGAGGCCCTGTTCAATGAAGACCAGGGGCATTTTCTTACCATCTGAGGCCACAAGCCCAAAGACCATCACAGAGGCCAGATGCTTGGTCTTGAAGGTGAACCTGATGTGCTCAGGGACATCCTCAGGCCTCTGATTGCTGATGTAGCGGTCATTGCGGCTGTTGGAGGCACAGTCGATGCAAAAGAGCTTCTCATCCGTGAAGAAAATCGCTGGCTTTCTCTTTTTAAAGATCTGGAGGAGCTTCTGGCTTCTTGCTACTCTCTTAGCCTTGGAGGTCTCATTTAAGAGCTGCCTCTTACCCCTGGCCCTTGACTTGGCTCCCAAATCCTGTTTGAGAATCCTCCTGACTGTCCTCTTTCTCACGTTCGTTTCCTTGGCCATCCCCCTCATGGATTGGATGGGGTTACACTGGATTTTTCCTTTTATTGCTCTGATCATCGCCAGAGTCCTTGCTGAATGCGACCTTCCACTTCCAGGCTTCCTCTTGACACTGCCTGTGGCCTTAAATTTGTTGAGGACCTTGTACGCAGTAGCCCTGTGGATGTTCTGGGTGGGGGTCTTCCCAGCATGAGACAAATTAACGATGGTCTCTCTTTTGGAATCCATACAAACAAATCTCAAAATCTCTGAACTATTTATAAAGAATCACCCAACCTCTACTTAAGAAAAAATTCTTGTGGCCCAGTTCCACTTCTGGATGAAGTTATAAATCTGCACATAAGTGTAGCCATTTTTTCGCTGCATACTGTAATGCTCTAACAATACAAGTGGTTCATAAATTATTGAAGGGGGTTTTTTACATTTATATGTTGAAAACCTGGAATAAATTGATTGGGTTTGCAGCTGACAGTATCAAGGTACTATTAGTTTATAATATTTATGTTTGGTGCATGCTTGACTGAGGCAGAGGAGAGAGAGAGAGAGAAATTTCTTGCTTCACCTAATTGAATTTTGGCTGCCCTGTGAGAAATGCATTCAATTTCAATGCATTCTTTGGTTTGTGAAATTGAAATGGGTGGTTCTTGTTGAGCACAAATTTAGACAAGCTTTCATGTTATAAATTCATACATCACAGATCAATCTCTAGATGGCAATATGATTAGAAGGTTGTATAAGCAGTTCTTAGAAACTGGGAGTGTGCTACAAATAAAGCAGAGAGGGGTCCATCTCCTGGCCACCATGGTCGCTGCACATGACCCTCCTTTATTTTTTTGTGGGGGTATTTAAATGACATTGTGTACATGACAAAGCTGACAAATTTAGATGTTTTATGAGAGAGATAAAAGATGCAGTTTCAACAATTATGCCAGAAATGGTGGACAAAGTGCAGGTTGAGATAGGTATCACCTAGATGTCTGTAGAGCTCAAAAAAATAGCCCACATTGAAGTTTAATGAAGGTAAGTTTAAACAGTAAAAAAACTTTGTTTAGATGCTGTTTGCTGCTAACCAAATCAATTTGTTCCTAATACCTATCAACATGGAAATTTGTATAACTCCTGCTATAATTCATGAACATTGTGTGCTCTTGGCAACTTTTCATTTGTTCCTTTTCCCCCTAAAATGTTGCTTCATAGGACTGTGATGCGGGGTTGTGATAACATGTGCAGCTACTGCATTGTCCCATTCACACGAGGAAGGGAAAGATCACGTCCTGCCATGTCAATTGTGGAAGAAGTACAACGCCTTGTCAATGATGGGGTCAAGGAGGTCACACTTCTTGGTAATTGGCCCAGTGGTTTCTCATCACTGAAAGGGAAGCTTTATGTTGAAATATAGAAATTTGAATATATTTTATCATGCTGATTTTCATGAATGCTCTGATTCCTCTGTGATCTGTAAGTTTAAAAACCAATGCTGCTGTCTTTGTTACAACAGTAAACATAATTGATATTTATCATGAAAGATCTGATTGAATTTATCTGGTCTGGACTGGCAGGTCAGAATGTGAACAGCTACTGTGACACAAGTAAACCCAGATCAAAAGAAGAAACGCAGATGTCTCATGGGTTCTCTGCATTTTACAAGCCCAAGAGAGGAGGGATCAGATTTGCAGAACTCCTGGAACGTGTGGCAAGGGTAGATGCAGAGCTGCGTGTTCGCTTCACATCACCTCATCCCAAAGACTTCCCTGATGAAGTCAGTTTGTTGTCATCTATTGTAAAAGTTGATCTTATCTAATCCCAAATTCATATTGTGATGAAGTTGAGGTTTAAATGAATACAGTAGTCAAGTCACTTGTCAGATTTTTCATCTGCTGACAAAATAAATTAATTTTCATCCCATCCTGTCACTGAGACCATAGACAAGGGTAAAATTATGAATTGTGTTATGATTGTCATCCTGGCTTGACTTTATGACTTGGACACCCTCAGGTTGTTGAAGATTCCTCCCTTCAGAAGGGAGGAATCTTCCTATATCTGCCAATCTGCCTATAGGCCAGCTAGGCTTCTTAACCATTGAGGAACACAAGGATTAACAGGTGGCCTTAATTTTCCTGGCCTGGGATTATTAGCTCTCATGACAAAATGTTCATCCCACCCACTTTGTGAACTCTATTTTACATAGACTTAGTGCCTATATAGAAAGACTCTCAAATCAAAGTAGCATTACTCCATATTGCCTTTATTTGTTCTTGCCTTCTGTCACCTCAGCCTGCTGCCACCTCCCAGATTGATGTGTACCCAACCTATGAATCATGCATGAGTTACTTCTTTCACATCTGGGAATAATTTATTATATGTTGAATTATCTCAATTTGGCTGAATATCCACTTTTTAAATATTCCTTATCCCTTTGCCAGGAGTCCCACAAAATAACACATTGACCTAATAATGTCAATATTGTTGCAAATTGATGAAACGACAAATATACAGTTTTGAAAATTTACAGGAGAATAAGATACTGCCTGTTTTTCAAATAAAAGAATGTATATTGGGAAATACCCACTTTTGTGCCAGACAGTTGTGTCTGAGCTCCTTGCTGTAGCAGTTACTATTCTTCTACCTGGAAGAAAGATAAATTGTTGCCCTGAAAATTTTCAAGATTGCATATTCACCCTATTTTCAGACTTGCCATGATACATGTATGATTTATGTATATGTGTATTACAAATCTATACTATTATATTTCAGAGTGATTGTGTGTGTTTGTGTGTGGTACAGATTTGGCCAACCCACTACTATAGACCCCTCAAGCAGTTAAAATTTTGGGGGCTCATTAAAAAAATTTCAGTTGTGATATACAGCTTGCTACTGAAAATTTGCGATTGGTTGTGTAGTAAAAGCTGCACAATTTAAACAATTTGTTGCCAGGTTTGCCTAAGAGGCATTAAAACAATATTAAACCCTCAAATATGGGACATATTTAATATTCACCCATGTAATGCTGGGTACCTCTGCTAGTAAACACAATGATAAACCAGAAATACAGTAATAGATGGTATTTAAGTGCTATGCTTAAATGATAAATAGTTTTAGCATTGAAAGCCCTTCATTTTTCAATTTTACTTTAATTGTGTTTGAACTATCCAGATTGTGATTACAGGTTCTGGATGTGATACGGTCATATCCAAACATTTGCAAGAGCCTGCATATACCAGCACAGAGTGGGAGCACAGGTGTCTTGGAGCGTATGCGCCGTGGCTACAGCCGTGAGGCCTATCTTGATCTGATCTCCCATGTCAGAACTCTGCTCCCTGGTGTTGCCCTCTCTTCAGACTTCATCTGTGGATTTTGTGGAGAAACAGAGGAGGAGTTCCAGGACACAGTATCTCTCATACAAAGTGTCAGGTACAACACAGCCTTCCTGTTCCCGTTCAGCATGCGGCAGAAGACACGGGCATATCACCGCATGCAAGATGATGTGCCTGAGGTGGTAAAGAAAGCTCGGTTGGAGAAGATGGTGGCTGTGTTTCGGCAGGGGGCTCTTGAATTGCACCAGGAACTTATTGGGTCCTTGCAACTCGTTCTTGTTGAAGGGGTGGGTGCCTTTATCATTTCTTCATTAAGTTTTAAATACTGCATTCTGTAATGTGAGGAAAAACTTCCTCAGAATAGGTGACATCATGTCAGGTATAGTGTAGAAGTGTCTACTGAAAATATAAAGTTTCATCTTTGGAAGCCTTTCATACCTACCAATTTTGAGGGAATGATATTTGTTTTGCAGGCATGTTGTGTGACTGTTTCTACAAAACCTGACAAGAGATCATTCCCAGCTGCACAACCAATAGAGATAATGCCAATGAACCAAAGCAAGATCTGAAGCATGCACTTCTCATTATCCAGAGGTTGGTAAACATTCACATTGATGTGAATGTTTATCCACCTCTGAATTATTCTGCATAAAACTATTAATTTTCATGTTAGGGTACTGGATACAGCTCTATCATAACTGTTGAAAGATGTGAGTGTCATTGCTGTGCATATTACAGAAAATAATTTGTTGTGGTGCAAAGCAAGTTAGTCAGGGAAGTCCTCAATTTATATGAAAGCTCAACTTCTTTTTGTACAGACTATTAAAAAAATTAAGTAAAAGACAATCAACTGGATGGTTTAAACATGAAATGGTAGCATTCCAGCATGTTTCAATGTAGGATACAGGATGAGTTCCAGAATCTGACAGCAAAGAAGAAATGTACTTTCATTTTCATAAATGTGGAAGATTTTCATGTTTCTGTAATAATTTTTTGTGATGTGAGAGGCATTGTAGATAGTGCCTGTCCAGGCTGCAAGATAAGTGACATGCTTAAAGAAAAATGCAATGCAAATTGATGCTGTTTCCAACTGCTTTTATTAATGTGTGATTCTTACCTTCATTAGGTGAGATGTTTATGCTGTAACATTATACCAGGTGTGTAGGTTATATATTTAACACCAGGGCTTGGCAGTACTGAGGTAATTATATGGCCCCCTCCCCTCTTATCATATGTAATATGGCTGACCTCTTCCTCTTGTCCATGTTCACATGTTCTATAAGAAATATGATCCTTCTGACTAAGCAAATATCTCTAAGTCAAAAGCAAAGGGAAAAAATTGGGCCCTCCATAAGTATTTGCATTTTGAGCTCTAGAGCTACATTCTTCTTGGATATGTGAAATACTGCACAAGTGTGGAGATTTCATCTTGCGAGATGCAAGAATTTTCACTGACCAACTGCTTTTAAGCAATATTTCTCTTCTCCAACTTGAGTGATTTTCACGAAATTTTCAGTGTGTAGGTAGATACATATGATTTCAATAAATCATCAAAATTTCTTCAAAATTCATTTCTCCAAGGCACGGCTATAAGCATTGATTAAAAAGAAGTTGGATAATGAAAATTGACAAAAGCTCATGCTGCTAGTGAAGTGGTCAGACCTGAGTGCTCTGCTTCCATATCATCCAGGCTATATTGAACATCTCCCTTCCATTGAAATTCATTTTTTTTTACTGACCTTTTCTTGAAGATTAATAAGAATAAAACTTATCAAAGCTATGACAGGTAAATCAAAAAGTATCAAAACAGGAAGTTTGCTCAAAGTTTGTTTAGATTTCACCAAGGGAAGAGTCAATTTCCCTTGGTCTCTTTGCCATGAAATGCAGTACTTGGAAGGGATTAGAGTACCCCTGTCTATTTTCAAATTTTTTTTTTTTAATAGTTGCTCATTGTTTTCCTTTGGGATTATCAATTTGTTGGGATTTCAATATTCTGTTTGGAACACATCAGTCTATTTACTATGCTATTTTTGGGAAAACAGCTCCTGTGAGAGCAAAGATAAACAGATTAAAAGTCTTTGATCTTTTTTTTTTCTGCCCTACCCTGGAGGTACTTCTGCTGTGTACTGTTTTGAGTAAATAAATTCCAGTTCATATGCTGTATTAAAGATTTCTGCAGACATTGAAAGAGATTTCAAGGGTTGCTGAATTCTCACAACCAAGTTATAGCGCAAGTATAAATCGATTCATGAATTTGGTTAACACTTCAAGCAGTTTTCATGTACACCATACATTCATCACTTAGGAGGTCAGTTCAAAACTCAGCACTTGAAGGGTTAATATATAGATTACCATTATGAATGTTTCAATCACCTAGTAGAAACTAATATTAAAAATAATTCTTATTAGTTTTTTGACTGGAGGTGCTCAAATCCATTAACTAATTTTTCTTTCCCTGTCTGTACCCATGAGTGTCAGAAAACTGAAACTGTAGCTTGATGCAACTGGCTAGGTAATATGTTCATTTCTACAATGCCCTCATGTCATTCCAATGAGAAGTTCATGTTTACTTTTTCTTGGTTGGAAATTGAAAAATGTGCTGAATATCATTTAACCAGTTGAATGGCCTACCATTAGTTGAATTATAATTTTTGAACAATTAGCTGGTTTATTAAATGTTGCATTTATCACAGATGGAAAAATCTTAGTTGGACTTTGACATGCACTTTTTTTTTCCAGGTGAGCAAAAGGAGCATAGATTGCCTGGCAGGTCGAAGCGATGGAAACACCAGAGTTGTCTTCCCTCAGATGGTAGTTCCAGTTGATGGTACCAGTATCTGCCAAACAATGAAGCCTGGTGACTATGTTGCCATTAAGGCATGTTCCATTATCTTCCTTTTGACTATTGGTGAATTGATTCCAAAGTGAAATTTTATCATTTTGTTCCAGGTAACTGATGCCTCTTCACAAGTGCTAAAAGGCCTGCCACTGCACATTACTAGCCTTAGCAAGTTCCATAGGGAAGACAAAGAATCAATTCTATTGGAATGAACATTCTCTTGTGTTGTTATATTGGTGAAGTACATGCTAGGTTTTTTTCATTTCAAAATACAGTTTTTATGTATTCTTATGAGTTGAGGGGATGAAGAGGATATTTAGTTCTGACAGTGGGGAGCATCTTTCCTCTACTGTGGGAACAATGTGATTTCCCATCTCAGAACCACATCTTTATTTTGAAAGTGAAGGTAGGAACAACTGGTTTGAACTCATTATATTTCCCCAGGCAATTATATAGGTTAAAATAAAATTTCAATCAAAAAAATTATATAAATGCTTTAGAAACAAATAGTTCTAAAGAAATATTTTAGAAAGTGTGTCCTAATCCATCTACTGTTCCATAGAAACTTGATTAGGTAATGTGGGATACTAAAATGTTTTGATGCTATATCTTCCTTGTTTATTCATGAAAAAATGAAATTACTTGTAGGGGGAGTCTGAAGTATTAACGTGTTTCTACTGTTGATATGCTGATAAAAATTTCTCTTGCAAACAAACAGTTTTTTCATCAAAGAGCAAAATTAGCTGTTTTCCAAGAGTAGCTGGTTATGTGGCATACCTGCTATATGCCTGGAATCATCAAATCTTAACAAGTGAAAGTTGAATGGTACAACCAATATTGACCAAATTTACATTCTGAACACTATTAATTTCACTGGTCAATTAGAGGTTAGGCAGTTTGCCGAATTAGCAAAAGTGCAGAATTAGCACGAATAAACTAGTTTGTCCTCTGCACCCACTTACTCAATGTGTGCCCACCCCCAGCAAATTTCACATTTAATCCATTGTTCTCCCACTTGGTCTTCTGAAAACCTGCCAGTATCTGCTCTTTCCATGATATACAGTGCTACAAGGAAAGACACCCCCCAGCTGTACAAAACAATGATGCCCTTTAATTTCAATAATATTTTTGAGTAATCTGGAATACTATTCCACATTACCCAAAATGACCACTTTGGATTCATCTTGCAATACAACCCAGACCACAATGAAAATCAAATGTAAATGCTCCAATTGAGAGCTTATTTAATTTGCTTTAATGGTATGCAACAGTTTAAGTCATGAACACTCACTTGATTTAGACTATTCAAGATGTTTAGGATCTTGTCAAGAAATATTTAAGGAGCAAAAATAAACCGCCAAACTTTTCATGATTTTAATTTTCATTGAACATGATAATTTATTTAGTTACTCTTTCAGAAATTGATTCTTGGAATAACTGTGATGAAGTTGTTTTCATTCCTTATGTTCTACCATGTTTTGCATGTCTATTGAGTATATCTGCTCTATAAAATTATCTGTAGAATTTTACAAAGTGCTATGCAACATTTTTGCCTGTATCATGAATTCTTAGCCGAGTACATGCTACTGCAATCATTAGCAAGTGTCACATGAGGAATCTCAAGCACATACCCCCTGAGCAAATGTTTCAATTCCTTCCCCAAAGTCCCTCTGCAGGGTGTGTCTGTGGTAACCATTCAGTTGTATTGCCCTGCAACTTGGAGATGGGTGCTCTCAACTGATGGACTATTATTTTTTTTATTCCTCTTCCCTTAATTGGTCCCATTTCTGGGTGTAGATAGTGAGAGGATCTCTCCTACAAGTGAATGAATGCCCTGAAGAGACTGGCCCTAGTAGGGGCCTCGACCACCAATATCCGTTTAGGGGCAGTGGGTCTAGTGGGTGTGAGGGGGTATTGGAACAAGGACTGGAAGCCTGGTCCTTACCCAAAGACAGAGGAGGAAAAGAGGGCTGCTGCCAAGAAGTATAACCTCCAGCCAGAGGACTATGAACCCTACCCAAATGACGGTTCTGGCCTTGGTGATTATCCCAAGCTCCCTCAGGTATGATCTGGAAATCTCTCATTTTCTCGGGCGATTTCCTTGTTCATTGGTAGGTATTCAGGAAAATCAATTGGATTTGAAGGATTAGGATTCCGTTCACAAGAAAGCTTTGGATTGCAACACTTCGGGAAAAAGCCTTGTGTACTCATTGAAAGCCAGTCTCATCATGAGATGTTTTAGTCTTTGGGCCTGTAGGCCTTCTAGGGTATAGTCAAACTGATGACGAATGTTAGATCAGTCTTCCTGTCTTGGATGGTAAGCAATGACTGATTTCAGAGCCTGACTTTGAGAAGGCTGTGGATTGCACTCCAAAGCAGACATGAGTCCTGCAACTTGCCTCGGATCTGAAGGTTGCCAGGGCTTATAAATTGTAACTTTACTGGTTTGGCATATTACATTTGTCTCCATCTTAGATTTACCAGATGCATCTATGCTGCACCATGTTTTCTAAGGCCACTTCTCTTGAATGCAAATTTGTTTATATACAGCATGTAGGAACAGATTTGGGGGTTTGTGATTTCTCGATATAGCCTCTACCAGCACCAATTCTTTGTTTTGTCTAAGTATACTCTGGTATGGTTGACATGTACTGCTTAAGCGCCATGCTAGGGGTTCCACTTTGGGTGAAGTCAGCGTCCTCGGGACTCTCGCCTCTCTTTTTGCCTTAGGGAACAGGATAAAGTCATTGGGAGCCAGGACAGGGGATACGGAAGATGGGGTAGAATTTGAACTTCATTTTCTTCCAAGATTTCCCTAGCTATGGCCTCACCAATATTCTCCGTCTGTCTGTTGATACATTATTCATTGGTCTTCTTGACAGAGCTTGAACCCGAAACACTTGATTTTCGGAAGATTCTGAGACAAGAAGGAATCGCGACCAAACGGAAATTCATTAATCTATTGTCAAATGGACTTGGAGTAATTATTAAGAAGAAAGTAGGTGGCATCTCTTGATGGGCTTAATTTGCCAATAACCCCCTTATGAAGCAATGGAAAATCATGGCTTGAATGTCATACCTTCCCACACTACCGTGGGGGCTCACATAAATTTGCATGACCTGGTGCGTAGTGCCGGCCGCTGCTCCGACACTCATCCGTTCGCACAAAAAGTAAAAGATCAGCTACAAATTGGCAGTTTACCTTCAAATGGTTTACAGATTGTTGACCAGATTGGACAGATGTTCTCAGTTCTTGCGATCATTTCATCTAGGAGATCAACAAAAAATTATTCCGTCGTTGGCTTTTCTCTGTCTTATATCATGTCTTCTTTCCAAGGATAATATTAATGTCTTTACGCTTTTTTTTCTTTCAATATGTAGAGGTTGATCTGGAAGCAGCAAGGCAAACAGAATAAGTTGGGTTCAGATTTATGCGAAGTCATGAAAAGATTGCTATGACTAATGATTTATTATGCCTGTAATTGCCATTTATGTATAAATATATTCTACTAAATTTTCATATAATTTGGAATGCCTGTGTGTCAGGTGGCGATGGAGGCGCGAGACCCATACCATTCGTGGGACTACCCGTCCCTGAAGTTGGACTACGGTGAGCCGGTCCCGGACATGTTCAACATCTACACAGAAGACCGCCTCGACGACTACACGGAACCGGTGATCCCGGGTTGGAAGAAGGTGGCCATGTTCCTTAGCGTTTTCTGCGGTGGCTGGATCATCTTCCAGTACTTCCAGGAACGACCTGCGTTCCGGGCAGTTCTCCCCAAGCAGTACCCGAAGGACGGGGCCGTGCATTATACATTTGAGCCCGCCGAATGAAGTCTATGGTAGTTCTCAGAAGTGACATTTTGTCGCGTTGAAACTGTGGGTCTGTGGAACTAAGTCACTCATTGTTGGATGAAGAAAATGTAATTCAAGACAGACGATTTATCAAAAGAAAAGCATTCATTCAGCACAGCTTGCTGTGATTGTCTTCATCCATTCTGTTCTCAGACGTATGGATTTATTGAATTTTATTAGCATAAATTTTCTGTTTTATGTAGAATAATAAATAAAACTTCATCCTTGTATTTAGCCAAGTGACAGGTGTATTCTATTGGTACTGGGACGATTAACAATATCACGCGATCACGTGAACGTTGCATGCATCTAGTGGGTCGTCTAGGACAGCGGTTCCCAAACTGTGGGTCGCGAGAGGCATCAAGGTGGGTCGTGTACATTCTCCCTGTATAAAAAATCACAGCATCCGCATCCGCTCAGGATAAAACATGCCCTGCAGAAAAGGTCGATCAGTTTTCTTCACGTTATAATTACTTTGAAAAAACCTCTTTCTGGACTCCGGTGGGTCGCGAAATTCTCTACACCAGGAAGTGGGTCGTGATTCAAAGAAGTCTGGGAACCGCTGGTCAAGAAAAAAAGCTTCTCTTTCGTCGATCGCTAGTCTATCCATTCCGTTTCGTTTCGTCCATATTCACTGGAAATCGTTTGCATTCTTTTAAGTACTTTGGTCATTTACAAAAGGAAGGAGTACTGTGGGTACTTCCTCTTTTGGTACGGCTCCTATCACCGCGACAACATATACCGAGACGAGATGTATCCGAGGAACTTATGGATGTTGCGATGGAAACGAAAGTCAGAATGAAAAAAAAAAATAGTTTGGAATAGGGTGTCGGATACTCGTCCCGATGGTGAGGGATTTAAATAATGCGGGAGGAAATCCCTCCTATAAAGTTCTTATTATCTCCTTGTAAATCAGGATGTGAGGGAGAATTACCTTTTTCCTATACGACGCACGATATCTCTCTCGGGAAACGACCTTTCGTATCTTTTGTCAGCGTTTACGCACAATAAAACAAAGGTAGACAAGTCGTTGCATCCGATCGTTCGTCCTCCGTACCCAACCGGATCTAGTACTCGAAGGCGATTCTTTTTCCGGTCCTTCTCGGTCATCCTTGTCCACCCGATCGTCAAAATGAAGTGGATTCTGTTCTTCGTCACGGTGGTCCTCGCCGCTCACGGTATGCTCTACCTCTGAAAACGCTCCGGAAATCCTACACGCGAATTTGTTAACTTCCCTGCTATCCGAATCGAAGCGGCGAGTGCTAAAGGTAAAATCACAGATAAGGATAGATTTTAAGCATTCCATGAATGCGCAGTATGACCGACCCATGATCGCGTGTCCTCGTCAGAGAGGGAGTCAAAAGTGGGAGGGGGGGGGGTGGAAAGAGGAGGGTTAGCACCGATGGGAGGTCGTCACCCCCAGCTTCCACGGGGGTGTTCACTACTTATCTACGGGAAACGAACGTCACCGTATTAAACGCGGTCGAACTCCTCGTATTATTATTACCTATTGCATGTAAATGAGAAATGCAGGCTTAGGTTTCGTGCGGTCGTGCTATGAGCTCGTGCCACGTCGTAGTATGGCCATATCCTAGCAATACATCCACGTATCTTCCAGTGCACACTCGTCGGAGAGCCCGTGGACTTATCCCCGAAACGAAACAAAAAGTGACTCGAATCGGTGCTATGAAAAAACCCCCTCGAGGTTGACGAATATCGCGCGGCTCATGCGTCCAGGACATGGACGCTTCAGCGGCCAGCGGCAGCCGTTGCCAGCACCACTCTGGTCCGAGGTTTTTCGTTTAATTTATTACCTCTGGACGCGTAAGTGAAACCTTGTTAGAAGTGCCGCAAAAACTTTTCGCTCGTCTTCGTCGATGCGATTCGATCGTAGGCAGTGACGGAGGGAGATAGCTGCACGTCGAGGATTCATCCTATCAATTTTTGTCTTTCTCATGCCACAAAGTGAGGATTCCCAACCTCCGGGACGGAATTTTTCACGCTGGAACTCGTCTGCCTCCGTAAATACTCCGCAGATCCCTGAAATCCTTTCAGGAATATGAACGTACCGGTACGTCCTGCTTCTTTATGTGAATGGCTTTGAATTGAAGGCGCTCGCACACCTCCAGAACAACCCGCTCCTGAAAGGGTTAAGAAAACTCACTCCTCAAAGGGTTAAGTGAGACGATTCAAGTGCGAGTGAGCGGGAGTGAAAAGAAGGGAGTCTTTCTTCTGGTCCTTTCCGAAAGTGGAAACGGAACCGTATCCCTGTTTTCGCACGGTGAGGGCAGGAAATCGTTGGCATCCTTTAGAACGCGTGAGTTCACGGACATCCCATACTGTGGGAAGGCGCAAATCGAGCAGCAGACGTCTTGAACTCTTACGGTCTCTTTAGTGACTTTTTTCTTCGGTCGTTTCCTGGAAAGCAGTCGAGAGTCAGCAGCAGCCATGTCACTGTGGTTTGTGGTCGTGGGAATACGAGGATCTATGGGAGGAAGCCTGCTTCAACGCTTGCAAGGAGAAATACCCAGAACTACCAATCGTCGGCGTCTGCTACGACCACGACTCGGGGCTCTGCTCCTGCTTCTGGAATAACAACGGCACCATCCCCGCCGACTGTCCCCGTATAAGCATTTTCTTCTCTTCCCTTTCCTTTCCTACCCTTACCTGGGATGCACAACTCCCTATCGTACAAAATAAAAATGCCTTCCTCTTTTTTTTTTCAGGAGGAGTCTTTGAAGCGGGCCTGTTGTGAAGGGTGCATTCCCGTGTAGGCGACATCGAAGAAATAAATGAATTGAAAAAAGAAAAGCCTTGGTACAATTATTCATATACTGCTTCTTTTTTTCTCTTTGCACGAGTTCATGCAAGGAATGATACAGGGATAAGAATGGGATATAAATGAAGGTGCTTTATTTTTAAGATCAGCCGGCCGAGATATTCGTTTACCTTCCCTGACTGACCCGTTTTCTCGTCCTTGTTGTAAATCGTGTTCAAAAAGTCTTATTTGGGCATCGATTCTCTCCGAGGCAGACGCTGAGCTTCCTCAGACAGGGGACGATGAACATTGCTAATATTCATCGTCCCCTGTCGATTCTCAGCGCTCCTGAAAAAGCCTACAGTGAACTCATTTGGGTTGCCTGGAGCGCCTATTTATGATGGCTAGTGCCGTACCACTATGGCTGCCTCGCCTTCCAGGTGTTGATAATATACGAAGAAGACATACGAAGAGGTCGCCCATTCTATTTCTGAGGAAGATTTTTTGCCTCCCCCTCCAATTAAACCGAGTGGATCTGGAGAGAATTTATGAATTTTCCTTAAACTACTCGTCGTTTCCCCAGCGGAACCGAGACGAGATCTCTCCGCGCAGCGAAATTCACTGAAAGAGTTGAGGAAGAAGACGCGACCTCAGTTAGGCATGTCTTCTAAGGAAGCTCCCCATGTCGACATTCGAAGGAACCGATCGGGTCACAGTTCGTGCATACCTTGGTTGCGTCACATGGAAGTTCCATGACATCCGCTGAAGCGCAATGCAGGAAAGTGGGAAGCGTCGCAAACAACATCGAGGGTGGGGGATTAGGGGGGTTGAAGGAGTTCGCGCATGCGCATCCACCATTCAATCCAGGGAGGGATGGGGCTGGGGAAGATTTACGCGGGAACTCCCCAGTCGCCCGTCCCCCCTCATCTCGTCAACGTCTCTCCAATGTTCATACGAATTCACCGTGTCGATGCAAATCTCGAGAGTGATGACTTCCTTCAACTTGGCCGTGTTAGTCGACGTGGATTGTCATTTTCCGTTTGCCAGTGGAGTGCCTTTCGTATTCCTGCTCATTAGGCGTACGTTTCACATAGAACTGGTATGCCGGTTCAGTTTTCAAGCATTTTCTCATCCTTACAGATGAGCTCATTCCTTTTGGCCCATTACTATTATTATATTCTCTGAGCACTCTGATGCTTCTGGTCCCACTCGCTCCACCGTGATAAAAAAAATTTCCTCGTCACGATAGTACGTGGACTCATTGCAACAGTCACCCGTGATATCGATCGATATCGGTGAGAGAGTGTATAGAAAGAGAAGAAAGGGATGAGCGAGCGGGGAGGGGGTTAGCGATGTTCGTGATGTATCCGAAGCATTTTCCAATATTGTCTGTCACGAACTTTCCCCTCTCCTCTCTAGAGGCAGGATCCTTGATGGTCCCACTTCACGGAAGAATCTCCAAAAGTTTTTTTTCTTTTTTTTTTTACCTCTTTGCACGGTCAAGACCAATCCGGACCATGATCGAGAATAGATCGTGGCCTAACCTGGAAAAGCATTGTCTCGAGAGGTACAATGGGGCGTTTGTTGGGAATGATACAAGGGTATTGTTCCGCCCGATACAGTAACAATTGTGCCTCGTAATATTTATGATAATTAGGTTTTTAATTTGCGGATTGGGTTATGCACTGTGCGGTTCCTCTTCGTTACTTAACTTCTGTTCTAACTCACAACTATTTTTAGAAAATAGTAGTGGTAGAACTAGAAACTAGAGAGAAATAGAACAGAATCAAATCCAGTCAGCTGCTTCTGTCGATCTTAGAGTCACATTTTACTTAGACCGCACAAATTTACTTCATAGTATATTTAGAGTGTATTGTATCCAATACACTCTGACTGGATCCAATGCACTCTCCATGTTATGGCATAATTCAGTTAAACCAGTGCCTACCTGTACTGAAGATCAAATGCATTATCGATGCAATGGCATGATTACAAATTTCACCTTCCAAGTCAATACGAAAATGGCGTAACACAAAACCATGTTTCAATCTACAACTCTCAGCGACATCCCTTTGCAAGCCAGTGAAATTCCGGCTTAGCAATTTGGAAACTTAAGATCGTTAAGGATCTTTCCAAGAACCATTACTTTTTTCAATCTGCCCTGCAAACTCAGTCACGTATCCTTTCGAGTTTACGGCCTGTAAATGAGAGGAACCCCGCGGGAGGAGGAAAAAAGATCGTATATCATTTGCTCCCTCCGACTCGTTTATTGTTGACTTCCCGAGTTTTATGCCCCTTTAATGGAGCTTCCGAATGGGGGTCTCCCCCTCTTTTCCTTCTGTCAACTCCTTCTGTCCGCCACTTTGATTCATGCATCACTCTTGAATTTTATTCCTCTTCTCGCTTTGCCTTTTATAATCCACTTATGCTAAAGATGACTAAGATTTCATCGTGCAATTCCATGATCTTAAAGAAGTGA